CGTCAAAAGGTGTGCGTATAGTTTCACCAAGTACATACAGTTTGCTTGCCAACTCAATTTTATTCAGTTTTTGTTCTCTTAAATCAACAGAAAGGCCTTGTGACACATTTCAAGGAAGAGGAACAGTCATTAATGGGCTCGTTAAGTAGATGGCTTTCAGGGAGTCAACCAAGAAAGGAGCAACCAGAGTCTGAAACAGCCTCTTCGAGAGGTTCAGGACACGAATACAGTAAGGGAAGGAGGACCAAAAAACTTAGTTCAGTTTTAGTGCAAGTCAGTGGCAACTTCAAAGTGAACCTCTAAATGAATGGAGCGCGAATTTTCAAAGACGAGTGTCACTTGCACCAATTGAATGGCACGGTGATATCAATCAAGTTTTGAGGTCAGCGGTGGATATGAGTCGCCAGCACAGGGAATTTTACCAGTTTACGTGGTTAAGTAACGGAAATGCAAGCTATCAGATATTCCCATTTTGGCGTTTGTTTCCCGACTTGAGATTCTTCTGCCGAGGGCGGGTAGTAATTACTCATACAAACTTAGTACGTCTAATTTTCATTGACGTCTGGAAAATTTAAAAAAATATATAACCAAAAAAAGGAGGCTTCGAGTCAGTGGACTGGCGTCAACTTATCTTCCCGATTTTGCACATGAAGTTTGTTTTCTTTCTCTAGCGCAAACCGCTTGATTCAGTCTCGAAAGAACTCCCACGATGGGCCACCAGGCACTGTAATTATGGGCTACTAAATTAAGTTTGGTTAGCTTTGCAAACAACGAATTTCTTATGTTTCAAGTCATAACTACAAGTCTTTTTCTTACCTTTGTCAAATCACAGCATTTCTTGTCATTGAAAGGTTCTTTAACCAGCTTTGTTTGCGAACCATGTGTTAATATTTTCCATGTTTCTTACATGACATTTCAAATCAAAAGAAAAAAGACATTTGCTGCCCTTATCGAGAACTCACTCATACTGGATTGATAACAATGGAGTAGTAGGCGTTCGAGTTGAATCCAGTTGCAAAAACTCATTCGACGCTATCAGTCTTTCTCAAGCCTCCGTCTGTTACCCGTATCCAGAGGAATGAACGCTTCTCAAGGGAACCACGATTCCGTAGCACTTCCCGTCCCGCTCGCGCTTCGCTCTCTAGGAAAGCCCTGAAATGCTGGGGAGACACTTGGCGATTTTATTCACCGATCGCGACGTAAATTGTCGATATTTGACACGCCAAATATCGGCGTCTAATATCGCTAAGTATGTCGCCGGCTCATGAAAGTCCCGCTTGACACTTAGAAGGCGGTTTTAGGGCGTTCCATTAGAAAATTCGGCCAACAGACGCGCGCTTATCTTTCCCCGAGATGACTTCATAGGAAAGTGTACCAAGGAACAAATACCCGCGACAAAAATCAAAGGAAACAACTTTAAAGTTTCCCACATTTTATTATTTGCATCATACAACAACCCATGTAACCAAGATTTAGGTTCAACAGAACGCAAATACTATGCAAATTAACATACAATTAGCAGAAAATTAAACAGTGTTTAGATTAAAAAAAAAATTAAGAGATCGAGTGACTGTACCTCCTTCTGTTAACTTCAACTATCAATCACAGCTCACCTACTTTGGGACGAAGATTGGAAGGTTTATTTGGTTCAAAAAGTAACGATGCTTGGTAAGAGGCCAACCGTGCTGTAAACACGTTATTTCATTTTATTATCCAGAATTTAGTTTGTTTTGAAATCAGGAAAAGCCTGTTCCAGGAGTTCAGTTAGCAAAACTTAGCGAAATATCAAACGGCGCGATAGTAGCGGAAGAATGAAAAAACCGAGGGAGAATCGGGTCTGGCCGGGTTCAATATGCGACCCGACCTTGACACCCCGCGTTTTTTTCACTCCTCCGCAACAAAAGCGCAGTTCACTATTGCGCTTCGTTTTACAAAATTAATGCCAAGAACAGGCTAAAATAGGAATTGATAATACGTTCCCAACTTTAGAATCGGAAGGGTAACAAAAGTAACAACATTTACGTAGTGAAATAAAACGAATAGACACAGAAACGCAAAAAATATAGAGAGATTAAACGTTCCTAATCAAGCACTATGAAATACTCAAGCGCACCTCTGACCAGGATGGACTGCACAAGCAGCTAAGCCCACACCAGTGGACCCGTTTCTTGTTAACTCTGTAAACAGTGTAAACTATCAACTAACAAAAATCACCCACACGTTAAAGACAATAAATCGTTCCCCAAAAGGAGTTTCCTCTCCTCCATAAAAAGTCATGCAAACGGGAAAAACGATTCACTGGCTTACTGTTGTTCAAAACGTGCTCCTTGTTTCTCGCCTCTAACTGGCCAAACAGTTTTTTCCACCCTCAGAAGTAACAATTACTTCACCCTCGTTTTAATTCAATTCTTTAAATACTTCGCGATATTGCTGACACTGGAAGGCAAGACTTTTCTTTCCTCAAACAATTACCACAATAAAAAGCCACTAAAAACAATTAGTTTCAACGGTTTAATATAAAGGAAATAATGAAGAGATAAACAAAAAATTTGCAGAAAGCTTACTTTTGAGGAAGCAGGCTCTTGCCGATGCTAAATTAGTCTGTAAAAGAACACTACTCATTCACAAAAATGAATACAACACATCAATCACATGCTGTAAGGAAACACAGAAGACCTGAAGTTCCAGAACTAATCAACAAACGTTTACAAAACTCGATATGAACACGAGATACAAAATGAGGATGAAGCAGATCAAGATATGCCTAGAAAGAAATCTTTCTGTTGATTTACTGACAAAATAACCACCACGGGTTAATGGAAGAACAAGGGAAAAGCTGTAAAAGAAACTATAGACACTGCAGTAGGGAGAATGGAAACCACAGGGGCGACATAATAAGACAACAGTACGAACACTATATGAAGCTGTAGCAATAAAATATAATCATATTTATGAATATCTATCGCTCAAAGCTTACTCATGGCGACTGAAGAGCGCGTTTAATTACCAATGCTTTAGTACATTCTGAAAAATAGCAATATTAGTTTACAAGTGTGAACGCGATTTTGTTACATAGAAACCAACACTGCAGAAAATTCAAGTTTAAACAGTTCAAATATTATTCTGAATGACAACAAGATTATCGAAAAATATTGAAGCTGGGAAAATGAAGACACTATGATTTTAACACTAATAAATTAGCAATTATCCACCGAACTGGTGGATACGTCAAACCAGATCCTTTGATTCCTTCCTAAGACAAGGGTTGCTGTGCATGTCATCTGCTTTCAAAGCTTACTGTTGGAGAGAATATGCTCTGGCCAACAATTTTCACTCAATGAATGCAAGTATTAATGTAATAAATGAAATATATGCTATGAAGTTTAAGATGTCAAATTCAAACAACAAATTGATCATAGCTTATCGCATTATATCGTGAAAAAGAATAAAAATGATGAATAAAAGTCTTGAAGCTACCAGCATGCCTGTAGTGGACGTCAAAGTTAACATTTCAGCAAAAATTACTCTATTGATGTGCAATGTATCTACAAGGAGCATCCAACCCCAGTTGAAAACAAAGGAGACTGCATTCTGAAGCATGCACATTCCATCAATGATCAGTGATGTAATTGTAATAAAAATATCAGAGATTGACAAAGGCATCAACAACTCAAAGCTTACTGAGCTTGGAGAGGCATACTCTTTGCCAATGCTTGCGTAGGTCTGGAAAATAACACTATTCATTCAAGAAAACACAACGTTTGAAGAAACAGTTCAGAACTCAAACAGGAAAAAATTTAGTTGAACGACGACTGTCAGAAAGATCTAATGATAAAACAGGAAATGATGCTGATATCACAACAAAGTTATAGAATCAACACAAGAAAGACATGGCAAACCAGAGAATACAATAACATTGTTTTCAAGAACAAATCAAACTCTGTTATCAAAGAATCACTTCATACAACAAGCTTACTGTTGAGATGAACAGTTGCTCTGCCTCTGAAAAACAACTTTGTTGTCAGAGCAAATAGCAATTCACGTAGCTAGCTACAAAAATGAAAAACACCAGAAAAAAAACTAAAGATAAAACTTTAAAGAATCAGCAAGAGACTCTCAGAGCCAGCTATGAGCTCCACCGTCTCCACTGACTTTACAACAAATGTACAAAATTTCCCCGAACGTTGTTTTAGTCTGAAAAGCAACATGGTTATTCAACCGATGCATACAAGAGCACGACAACCTGAAAATACTCACTGTCTTCCATAATTTTAACAGGAAATGTATATCAATGCTTAATAGCAACCTCTAAAAGAACACTAACAATAACCATGATAATGATTAACTGTTGATCCTCTGGACCACATCAAAAATAGCTCCTCTTTGTGAAGACACAGGCCGTCCTGTGTTTTGCGTTGTGATTACGCCAGCCCTTGGTAGCCTTGCCAAGATGACCACAGCAGATCAATTTGTGACAATACAAATTTAAGCATTTACGAAAGTGCAACACATTTTATAATTAACAACAATGCATGGAAATGATTAATAAAACTGGCCCTTTTTAATATAAGCTCAAAAATTACGTGGGAGGACGAGGTAGGTCAATAGATTGCTAACCTAAGGTCAACTGAGACTAAGAACGACACGATAAAGAACGTCCGTCGCTGCTTCTGTAGAATGTAAAGTGTAACATGTACCACATGCAAACAATACATAAAAACACTGCAATTCGATCAATTTCATTATCAATGCATCAACAATACAAAATTAACAAAACATTGCAAGTTTGAATACAAGACTAACTCTAACGAGCACGCACTGGCAACAGTGTATCAGTTAACATTTCAATGACTTTTAAAGCAATGAAGACAAGAATCAAATTAGAGGAAACCTTCAAATGTAACAGCTTTACTAAGAAATAATGCTACTGATAATAATATTTGATATCCCTGACTATTTTCTTAACCCTATAAATCAATCACAGGTCTGTACAACTAGGAAAGTAAAAGCTTCATCCAACACCAAACCTGCAGATTTATTTCAGTGAAGTCAAAAATAGCAATAGTAGAATTACAACAAAATGCACACAAGAAATAAAATGTATCCTTTAATACCACGCCCATTTGGTTTACTTCGTGTCCTATCCTGTAAATTCATACATGTTTACAAACTCAGAGCATATTTGATAGCTGACTACAAATGCAAATCATATTAAAAATCAAAATGTCTATAAGATAGGCTAATAGGAAATCAATGCTAAGAGTAGAACACCAAAATCCTTTGTAAAAAAAGAGATCTTCCTTGCAAAAACAGCTTTCTTGAAGACACCTCTACCTCTCTTCCTAGAAAGAAATGTATGATAGAAATGGTATCGTTTAGAATAGCACTTACCATAATTTCTAAAACAACTTTAAAATTTGCTGGTAGGAATCAATAATTCACAGTGACATTTGTATGCACCATTTCAGCCCAGTAAAAATAAATAATTCCCAATATAATTCAAATAACAAAGGAGATATTGGAAATGAATAACAGCCACTTTGCTAAATATTATCATAAAAATTTAAAGATCAAACTCAATCATGACAGAATGTGCATTATTTCACCAGCTGACCTGACTGCAATTCTCTGACTTTAGCCTTGTCCTTCTGGCTACATTTTAGTGGTTTACTACATAATTTTAATCTCATAATCATCATTAGTAAATGACAACAATGATGGAAAGATCGATGCTTTCAAACTGCAACATTATTAAAGGCCAAGCAGAGAACAAGCTCATGTATGTTTAAAATTTAAATACATGTACATCACTGGCACAAAGGTTAAAAAACAGAAAAGTAACAGTTCAATTGAATAACTAAAAAAAATTGTCTGCCAAAGAGAAAAATACAAACTCATGCTAGAACAATTCATTTGAAATAGAAACAAAGGGCAAATGGACAAACAAAACAAAAAATCAACTGATATTAAGCAAACAGGAAACTTTTAAGAACTATCAGTAGATATCAAGTTACACAGTCTCTTTTTCTTTCCCTTTCTTCTCCCTCTTTCAATATAAGTAAAAACCTACCTTTACAACTTATGTTCCTGCTACTGGCCCTGTTGTCCCCCAGGGGGTCCAGGTGGAGGTCCCCCTGGCTGTCCCCCAGAGGGTCCTTGCTGTGGTGGTTGTTGTTGCTGCTGCTGTGGCTGTTGTCCAGGTACTCCTGGTTGCTGAGGCTGTCCAGCTTGTTGGTAGGGGTAGTAGTAACCTTGCTGTCTGTAGAACTCTGCCCATGCTTGTGTGTAATCAGGCTGCCCCCCCTGTCCTGCTGGTTGACCTGTATGGATTGAAAAAGGAATTAAAGGCAACTTCCATCACTGGCAATCTTGGCTAACTACCTGGCTCTAGCTAGTTGGTGAGTAATGCTGACATCCAAGTAACTTGCAATCAAGTACAAAGAAATCTTGTTTTGTGTGTTATGTTTTGCAAAATTGAAAATTCATGTATGTAGACAGTATTTAGCTCTTGTTTGATGTTTACTGTTCTGGGAAAAGTTTACATTATTCTTATACCTGGTGCTTGTCCTGCTGCCATTACTGCCTGTTGTTGGTAGAGTTGTTGATAGTATGCTGCCCATGCTGCAGAATAATCTGCCTGGCCTTGAGCTGTAACAATAAACACAACATTATTCTTGTACATAAACAGAAGCAACAGCAAACTCCACAGATTTACAGGGTTAGTATGCTAAAAATGCAAAATGTTTCCTCAAAATAAGTCATTTAGAGGTCAAAATTAATTAAATAACTAAAATTCCAGACACAGCTAACTCTCTAAAACAGCATGAAATTTCCAAGAGTTTTTCCTTCCACTCATAATTTAAAAACATTATTTTTGTTCTTTACTGATAATGGTGATAATACTGTTGTGCTGCATTGACACCAAAACCCCAAAATTTTAACAAATCACAGGCATGTAAATGTTGCCACTTTAAGAGAAGGCTGTGTTACTATGCATATGTATTGCATAATTATGTGCAGCTGAAAATCAAGGAAAATATTCTTACCCTGACCAGGTTGCTGGCCTTGCTGTTGGCCCTGCAAAACAAACAGTTATTTAGTACAGAACAACTTTTTCTTTGCTTCCTTTTAAAACCTTTTTATCGATTGTAAGACTTAGAGTACAGTCAAGCTCAGAAATCCACAAATAACAGAATTATTTTGAAATGAGGAAAGCATGTTGACAAATCACATCAGAAAACAGGCCTCATAAGCCAACTCCTAAACCAATAATACTTCCTATTTTTATTTTCTAAAGCAGAATCTTAAAACCTCAGAACTGATTGTCTAATCAAGCACTAGTAACCACTGCAGCTTTTTACAATATGGTCCATGGTCTGGAATTTTTTTCACTACATTAGAGAGCAAAGTGGCAAAAAAGAAACCAGCACAAAGAGCTTGGGTGTGTTTTCCCGTACAGATCTCCAGCCCAGTAAATAACATAATATGTACTTTTAACAATTTGGTTCTCTCATTTCAGACTGGCTTGATCTTCTTGACACTTCAATCCAGAAATTTTTCTGGTGTTATTGGTTTTTTAAGGTTCAAACATAAACAAGCCACTAACTTGTTGTTGCGGTGGTTGCTGACCATACTGCTGTTGCTGTTGGCCATATGGCTGCCCTGGTTGTTGTTGAGGTTGCTGTCCATATTGCTGTTGTTGCCCATACTGACCATACTGTGACCAGCCCTGCTGTTGCTGCTGATGTGGTTGCTGCTGTTGTTGGTTCCAGCCAGGCTGGTTCCAGTTTTGTCCTTGATTGTAATTTCCTCCCCCACCTCGTTCACTTTCTATTTTCTCCCTAATCATTTGTTGGGCATGTTGTATCTGCTGCTCCGTACCTTATGAACAAATAAACAGCTCTGATTATACTTTTTCTTGATGTTTCTTTTCATGTCTAAGAAACTCTTATTGTGAACCACCATGTGTGCAAAATGTGTAAAGTGGATGAAATCAAATAATGGAAGCCTTAGACAAGTTTAGAATGTATAACATCAAACACAATATTGCCTCAATACCTCGGATTATAAAGCTCTTTGTTGGAGAGCTTTCAGGAATAGTTCTGTTTAATTCTACATGTGCACCAGTCATGTTTATAATCCCTCGTATAGTTTCTCCTCCTACAAAGAATACAGAGAAGAAACAGGTTGACAATTCTTTACTGGCTTCCATCTACAACAATCATACAGTCAAACCTCCTGTAAGTGACCACCCGAATTGTCAATTCTTGGTGGTTGCTTACAGGAGGTCAGGCCACAGGGGTCCATATTTTGGGTTATTTGCATGACATTACTGGAACCTTTTGCCAGTGCTTATCAAAACCTTTTGTACTAACTTTTAGCAGCTTGTTCACAGAAAAAAATATTAGGACCTAAGGTGATTGGGAGGTTCAACTATATAACTACATTTCCCTGTCAGTCTTTTCCCATGCAGTAAAAGGCATGAATCAGGCCAACATGAGACTGCACCTACATGTCAAATACCACAGAGGTAGTGTAAGGACAGCTTTTGCATAAGAAATAGACAATTTCCAAGTAAAAACATGTCTACATATACCACAAATTCCCACATCCATGAGGACTGCTGAATATTTGATTTCTTTTCAATCTTTTTCTCTACTGTGCTCTACTGTGCTCTACTTAGAGGTGAAGTTTTTTTCATAATTACCTTTTTTAATCAACCAACAAAAATTAAACCAATAAGAAAAGGACAGTGACTCTTTCTATACTGCTACAGTGTAATGGTTCACAGGACAGAAGTCCTGAATAGGACTCTTGTTAGTAACAGATATTTCTGTAACCATTGTTTAAATTTTTTAAAGCCTTTAAAGTCAACAGAAACATTACTTATCAAAAAAAACACAACAATCACACTATACACAACCTCCTGTTACTCCAGTTGTCATCACAAACATACCTTTTCCGATGATCAGGCCACATTTATTTCCTGGTACTGGGTATTCAACTGAGGTAACTCCAGGCATATTTGCTGGGGCACCTCTAGGGGGTGGACCTCCTCGCTGTCGAGACTGAACATCAAATCAAAACAGCTTGTTGAAACTAAAGTACTTTCCATGGTTAAATGTTTTTCATATACACATGTATATTGACAAAAAAATGAAACATGTCGCAATTTGACCAGCAATTGAGATACAAATGAAGAAATGAACTTCAAGGTGAACTGCAATTCAAGGAATTGCAGAAAAGAAGTAAGAAAAATTTAAGCTTTGGTGAGATCCAGATCTGTGAAATTTCTGCAATTCCTTTATTTTCAACTCATCTGTCAGGAGCATGTCTTATATCTGGTCACATCTCCCTTGGACGATACCTTGGTATCTAGGAGAGTTAACTGTAGCCTCCAAATGCCCATTTTAAGGAATTCCCAACTTATCAATCTCCATTGAATGCATGAGTCAACTTTGCATTTGCTCTTTCATCAAGGCTGTTTTACATTTACTTCAACATGATTTCAATACTATTCACCTGTTCTACTATGTCTTGAATCATAGCCTGGACTTTTTGCACCTGCTCTGGTGTTCCTTGGACAGTTGCCATTCGTTCAGGAGCATTAGAGTTGTCCTCTGTAATTACAAATAAAGTCATTCAACAAAGCACAAAGCATGTGCAAACATTTTAAATGTACCAAAACAAACAGACTTTTGTGTACTAAATCAAAAATCTCAGAGCTCATGGTAGTTCCATCATGGATTTTTGTCAACAATTTTCTCCTCATGTTCAAAATGACTAATGTCTTCTTTCATACATGGTATGTGGGTATAAAAATAGAAACGATTTCACACTTCCAATCTATACAAATGAATCTAATTTGTTACCACAATTGAAATAAACTCGTCAAAGATCCCAATAGAAGTATTTTCAAAGCTTCTGGAATTAATTCAGTCCAAATCACAAAGAATGCATAAAACAACATACTCATATTGAATTGCACTTTTGCTCTGGTTTCAGCTTGTATTCTTTTGATGGTTTCCCCATTCTTTCCAATAACAAAACCAACAATCTCTCGAGGAACAGGAACCTGCCACAGAAAATTATTATTCTGTAATTAAAACCTAATGTTCCATAGCAAAGCTTGCTGTACAATATATTTATTTTCATATAAAAGAAAGAAAGAAAGAAAAGGATTATAGCACAGATTTGAAGTAGGTAGTTTTATTTTGTGGCCAAAGTGGCTGATTTTGTATCAGAGCAACTTCTCTGCATAGGAGCCACCTGGGATCACAGAGTAATACCCCATTTACACCAAAGCTAAAACATGTTTTCAAGCTGTTTTGCCAAACCTGGTGTATCTAAAAATGTTTTGCTGGTGTGAATTTGGTATACATAACATTTCATCAACTACTTCAACTACTTTGGACAAGTCTGAAGTCTATAGGAAACCTTTATATTGCACATTGTGTCCAGACTTGCGGCAACTATACAGTAGAAATGCTCTGGTCTAGTGTGAACTTCATTGGTTAAAGATCAAAATGACAGGGTTCAACTTCAAGCCCTTGTGTTGTGCTCTTGGGTATGACACTGGTGCTTCTTTCCATTCAAGTGTTAAAATGGAAAATTTTCATAAATTGTTGGGGAGTACCTGTGATGGACTAGCATCATCTCTCTAATTAAAGCAGGACAAGCCCTAGCAGAAGGGGGCATGTAAGCTTGTAAGACTGTACCTATGCTATAGAATGTGTTTGTGGACGATCTTTTTAAGTTTTACATACCTCTATCTGTTGCATGCCAGGCTGATTTCTGTCCATCTGATGTCTGTTTCCTTTATAGTCCAATCCAGGCATGTTTTGCTAAGATTCAACAAAAATTATTCATAAACATCACAATTTGTGTAAAGTTTTAATCCAAACTATGGCAGGCCAATACATTTGTTGTCTTGCCTGCTAAATGAGCATGTGCAAGGTATTCATTCTGTCACATATCAAAAAAGAGAAGGTTCTACTTTCAGTGTGGACACTTATTTCTGGTACACAACATGAAAACTGTACCAAGGATGATACAAAAACAGTGTTGTCTATGTATTAACTTAGCCTCAAACTCAATTTTTTTCGAATTTGCCATTGAATCGGCTACCTAATATCATAAAATGGTTGCCAGAAATGAGATTTCAGTCAGCAGAAGAGGGAAAGGGAAATCCTGGGGAATGCTACATGAGGTTTTGTACAAATGTTTATCTCACTTTAACTTTGTTCAAGTTTATAGAAACATTCTAGCTTGCTATATAACCACCAAACTTACCTGTAGGTTGCCAAATTGACCAAAATTCCTCTATTGGCCATAGCAACCTAAAATGTTGCAGCTCATCATGCTACTTAAGTTACCTTCCTCAGTGTTTCATTACTTAAAGAAATGCCTATCATTCTCTAATCATGCAGATTATCAATAATATTTAGAAAAGACCACTGTGTTCTGCATGAAAAGTAACATCTCAATCACAAAGCCCAATTAACATGAAGTGCTTGGTTTCAAAAACACCACCAGTCAGACTCAACCACCTTTCATAGTTAACAAACATATTGGTCTGACTGTGAATTCCAGTAAAACCTCTTCGACCTGTCATCACCTGCCAATTCCTGTTTGTCCCTTGCCCACTGACCTCAAGCTCTTTCTCAGTAAGTAAATCTTGTACAAGATCCTTTCCTCTTTGTGTTCTCATGGCATCGCCCATGATTCTCAGAGGTTTCTCTGGTGCATTTAAATATGGCCCATCTTGTATCATCATCATTCGACACTGTGCTCTCTCCTACACATTTACAAGGAAAGTTACTTTCTAATATAATTCAAAACTCCAACAACAGGTAATAACACAAATTTTAAATTGTCTCTTGGATCAGATAATGGTAGGTTCCATACTTAATTGATTTAACCAAATCTTTAGTTCTATCCAGCTATCAAAGAAGCTAATTGCTTCATTAATAACAATGGTCTCAGGTTAAGCAGATATATTCAACAAAACCTAGTGAGATCATGGTCTGACTAAAGTACACTGTAGTGTCCTTGCATGGAGGAAAATCTTCAGGTAAACAGAGGAACTGAATTAGAGAAATTTTCAGTTTCTCTCTTCTGCAGTTACTCAATGAAATCAAATGAGAGAACAACAAACCTGTAAAGCCTTGATGGTCTCTCCTCCTTTCCCTGTAACAAAAAGAGAATTGAAAAAGGATCAGCAAGATTTCTGTAACAAAGAGGTGTTCTAAAAGGAGCCCTTAAGTACACTGTAAATCCAAGAGAATCTTTCTGGCTTACTACCCTAGCAGAATATAGCATATAGAGCAAAGTATATTGTTTTTCTTTGAAATATTGAGGACTAAGGGTTATCTTTACTCCAAGCTAAGCTGATAGTTTTTTGCTCATCCTTTGTTTTCAAGAAATACTTCCACCCCTTGAAAAAAAAAACATGTAAAGTAGCTTATCAGTTTAAGAGACATCTCTGGTATCTTTTAAACTCACCAATAATCAGTCCCACTTTACTAGCAGGTATCATCATTTCAATGACTTGTTCACCTGGGGCAACAACTGGTGATGACATCTGGAACACAACAATAACACTCTACATTTACTCCTTTACACATCACATATCTAGTGTGGCTTAACCCTTTAACTCCCAGAAGTGATAAACATATAATTTCCCCCAATAACATCCCTACATTATCCACCATAGAGGTTGTAAGAATACTCAAACTTATCAGGTACAAGTTCTTACCTTGATCTAACACCAAATTCTCATAACTAATTTACAAGGAAATTTGTATCAGCCAGTGGGGAGGATTAACAATAAGATCTTGAGAGTTGACGGTCAACATACCAAAAATTCTAACTGTTTCACATGCTGATAACTATCAGACACACATGTGCAACGTTAGTTGTCTCAAAGTTAGCTCCTCTTTGTTGATAATGATCAAGGTTAAAACACATCCTTTTATAATAAAACAATCCTCACCAAAGATTCTGGAATCTTTCCATCCTCACATATTTTGTTTAACAAATTCCTTGCCTTCCTGTTTTGACAAAGAAGGGAACAGCAATAAAATAGGGTCAAAAGTAGACTCCTGCACTAAAATTCACCTTGATCCATAAATATTCCTATGGTGCTTAGACTTGCATTCCTATCCTGAGAAAATTGAACCTTCAATTATTCTATAGCTAAAAAAGGGTGAATTCTTGCTACAGACCCTCAGTGAAGCAAATGAGATAAAATAACACACATTAAAGTACCAGTAACTAAAAATCAAATACATATATCCTCTTTTTTGACGTAAAAGCTAGTCTATAAAAAGAGTAACATTTGTAGTTAAGAAGAAACTGCCATTAAACCAAGAAATTGCTGAAGAATCTTTAGTATAATGCAGCCTATACTGTAGAAGACAAACTTACTCTACAGCTTCTCGTGTTCCATTTATGGAGACATGACGATCTGGAGGTGGTATCTGACCAGGAGGAGGATCTATAACAAACAACATGATCAGTTCCCTTGTATATTGCAAGTTCCTAGATAAGAATAAGCCATCATCCCCAGGTACACTTGTACTACATTTAAAATAATGTGAGGATTTCCTTTATAAAAGTTTAGGAGTGCCAGTCACACCTACAACTTGTACAACCTAGTTCTGAGATAATTGAATATGGTCTTGCTGAACTCTGTTAGAGTTCTTTGGACAGTTTACATGTGTTTTCAGGGATTTCAAAATGTTTTGAAATAGGCATCATACTTGGCAAAAGTAGGGGACAGTGGAAAGTTCATTAAGGGCCAAAAGGTAGTTATTTTAACCAGAGTGACTGGTGAAAGGTTATCAAGTAGCCAGAAGAAGTCTTGTGGTCACCAGCTTCTTACGAAATCCCTGGTTTTATAAGTTCAAATTTAACCCTGCATTTTCACTTCAATGGAAAATAACACTGCCTTTACCTGGAGCAACTTGTATTTTGGCACCAGTTTCTGACTGCAATTTATTAATCTGTTCTCCACCACGTCCAATGACTGAAAGAGGTGAGAATCAATGAGTAACTGAAATTGTTCTGGATTAAACTCAACTATAACTCATAAATCTGAGAAATTAACTCTTTGCACTTACTTAATCCAACAAATCTGTTTGGGATTTTCATTTCCTCTGCTACTAATGACCCTAGACCAGCTCTGTTTCAAAAAAAATAAAAAAGAAAAAAAAAAGGGCCTTGTTACTCTCAGAGAAAAGGACACCATTATTCAGGGTGGTTATATACGGAAATTGATAACCTGATAACATTTGTTCCATGTTATTCTATGATCAAATTGCAGTAATGGTGGTTCACTGAATAAGTTTGCTCTTCATCAGGAGAAAAAGTTACATTTACATCTGAGAGGAGACACTTACTCTAACCTCATCCCAAATATTAAATATAAAAGCTATCCTCACAGTTATGAATACTACAGAACTAGTAGTGACAATAAGGCCTGAAAAAAAATGCAGGCCCATACAGGATTTGAACCCATGACCTCTGCAATACCAGTGCAGTGCTCTACCAACTGAGCTAACAAGCCAACTAGGAGCTAGTATTGTAGAGGTCATGGGTTCAAATCTCGTACAGGCCTGAATTTTTTTAAGGCCTTATTTTCACTACTAGTTCAGTAGTATTCATAACTGCAAGGATCACTTCTATATTTGTTTCTTCAACCACAGTACATATACATTATTTTTATATAATTACAATCATGTATTAAATATAGGTTACTTCTTTTGTACTCAAATTTCGAAAGATGTCTTAAATATATGAGCATGCACAACTTAATATTACCTTTGTGCTAAACTTGCAGCCACTTGCATAGCTATTGATTTTGGATCTTTTCCATCCATGGGAGCTGGAAGCCAAATTTCTATATGTCAACCAACTTAATATTCTTAATCATTGAAAAGGATGCCACTTTACTTACATTAACAAATACATGACCCCACTGAGGACTTTTTGCACAACTCACTTGTTATACACCAAAAGTAGAATAAAATAGCTTAAAATTTTCATGAATACAGTTTTCCCAACAGTATCACCCCAGAGTCAAACAATTAGGCCACAAGAATAAAGGAAATGATCACAATCTAAAGAAGCTCTTGATTATTGGCCAAATTCTTCTTAAAAGTACCTTAAAATTTATGGAAAATAGTATGGAGGATATGCATACTGATGTTAAGATGTTAACAGTTCATAGAAAAGCACAGAAGTCCAGCAGGTCGACTTGACAGCTAACAGATAAATGTCTTCAACTGGCAAAATGGTTACCTGCAATATGTTGCTTTCTTCTTCACAAAACAACATACTGCAAATAATCATATTACCATTGGCACAACTATGAAGCTAAATACATTAGGCGATTCAAGCAAAGTTTTTTTTTAAGTTCAAAAGCAAGTAGCCAGTTTCTGATTCATCTAACTAAGGTAAAAAAACGTCACAACCGTCTTAAACTAAATGATCCAACTGAGCTAATTCAAAGTCGAAATCCACCATAAACAAGCCCTTTCGACAATGTTCAGCTTATCTTGAATTTATCGTTTGTTAATTTTTACAAAATAGATCCCACCTTCCATCGCTGGTTTTTTCATAGGGATTTCTTCATTACCACCTGGAAAAAATCAGACAACATATGACTTCGCGAGAACTTATACAACAAGGGAAAAAGCATGAAGATCTCAAGCTTTCATTAACGATTGATTTCGCTCCAATTTGCAAAACTCACCGTCAAACTCGAATGGTCTTTTCTTGCCGATTTCTGCCCATAAGAGACAAAAACAAACAATAATCAACGTTTGAATTCCTTTTAGAATTTACAATTATTTCTTTAACGTAATGAGACGGATAATTTCAGGCCGAATCAAAACATTTACACACCTTGCTCTGCCGAACTCTCTGCAGCCGCGGCGCTACTTGATCCCATCCGAGCGGCGATCTAATTAATAAATTTCCTGTTAAACCGGCTCAGAAGAACACTTACAACCCCTTAGAAGCAACCTTACCTCTTTAGCTCTTTTCAATGCGTCGGCAAACGCTGAAGTTGGATCTACCGGATTTCCCGAAGGCGGTGGAACGTTATTGAAAGAGACTGCGTCCGCCATTTTCGAGCACGTGAAGAAGAGTAATGGCTAAAAGGGGACCGAAAGGCCTGATGGGTCCCGCTGCTTCAAAGCCTTTACGAGCGAGACAGCCGATAGGAATTTAGGGAGTTGGACCATGTGTCGAATAACAACATTTTAAGAAACCGAGCCTACATACAATTGAATTACAATTACGCCTACCCCTAAATTTTTTTCAGTAATGATAATAGCAATACTACTAATAACAATAATAGCATATCTTATGACGCATTTCACAAGTCTCCCCATGTGTTTGATAATTAAATCAAATAAATTGGAAATAGACATAGAAAATAAACACAAACACCCCAACTGCAGCCATGGAGGTCAACTCGGGGCAACTGAAAACAAAACCAGTGAATAGTAAGGTGGAGGGCTTGAAACGGGAATCATCGGATTTTTTCAAAAATTTTTTTCTTTTCTTTTCTGTCCTTCATTTTTTTTTTCCTTCTATATATTTTTTTAGATCTATCAGAACACAATCAATGTTCCACTCAAACACTTGAACTCCAACTTATTTTATTAAATCCAAGAGGGGTAGATTTACTATTCATATTCATACAGCCCTGAAACTCACGATTGGTGAAACTGGCCAGCCAGTGCAGTGAATTTCCATTGTGTTTGAATGAAGAACGTTTAAAGTACGCCCAGGAAAACTGATAACTTTCGCTGATAGGTATCACTTACAATGAAGTATTCAGATTATACCGGCTGAAAAATTGAGAGATGCCCCGGCACATCATTACATGTAAAAAAGCATGGAAGGAATCCGTTATGTACCTTTTCATCTCATCTTGGTTCTTTTAAATACAGTTAGGATGAGAGCTATAATGAGGCCAAGCCTTGGGGTGAAGAGCCAGCCAGTTAACATCGACTACCTTTAATTCACGAGTAGACACAGCGCTAGCCAACTTCAAGATTTAAAATTCAGCCTCGCGGTAAGAACATATCTGCAACCATCCACTTGTTCTTCTAAGACATTTTTATGAGATTTAAGGGCGAATTTCTAATGTTTACCTTAGACACTTTAAATCAAAGGACTCGATCAGAAGTAGAAAGTCCGCATATTTGAATCTGATAACAACGCTCAACGCATATTCGAGGGTAATCCGAGCAAATTTGGCTAATTGATCGTCATGTTTCTTGTAGACATGTGGAATGTTTCTTCGTGCTGAATAAAAAGTTTTTTTACCACACGCGGTGTTGTCTCTGCAATTTGGCAGCGCTTTCGTAGATAATCACATGAGGAATAATGTTACTCTGCGCTTTTAGTAGAATGAAATGTACTGTATGTACTAAATATTTTTAGTAGAATGCTTTTGTCGTTGGTATCTCTTGTTCGTGCACTTCGCGGTAGAACGAGGAAGACACCGACTTTCCGGCACTTCATG